GCGCGCCCATGTAATATCCTCTATATATTATTGTCCTCTTAATTGAAAGCACTCGTGCACATATTTGCAAACGAGGCTTTGGATTTTTTCTGGAGGGTTGAACGAATTCTTGATTGAATATAATTTTCAGTCTTTTTAAAAAAAAAATTCATTAAATTTCTGCTTTCCATAACATCAAACATATTCTTTCTCAGACTCTCATAGCGCGGACATTTCACCAGGAAGTGTCACTCGTCCTCTATTTCCCTAAGTTCACACCTAGTACATATTCGGTCTTCGGGTTTTCTATACGGCCTTTTATAACGCCCTACTTCTATCTCTAGATAATGACAACTAATTCACAGACGTGTGAGAGCGTTTCTATGCTTGATGTTAGGAACGCGGAAGAGATATGTTTCAGGGGAATAATTACATTTAAAGATACGATATGTTCGGAGTTTATTTTTTTGACCGTTTTTTTTTTATCATCAGACACCTCCCTGAGACATTTCTTGAACTCAATATCTTTTAACCTTTGTTTTACAGTTTTACAGTACATCCTAACGTATTATCCAGACCTCACCGAGGCCCACTTTGTATATCGTATCTTTAATTTTCTTTAACCAGTCTCTCTTATTTTCGTTTTCTAAGCAATCTAAGAATAGATCATGAGAGAGGAAGCAACTTCTGGGTTCTCTCAGTTTGTTTAGAAAATCGAATGCCCTGCATTTGGCATCGATAGATAGAGGATATCTTCCCAGCTCGGCCCTACAAGCATTATTTGATGCATTCTTACCAACTTCTAGGACTAATTTACAAAATTTTACATGGACTGCTTCAGTTGGATCTCGCTCTTTCTTTAGTACGTCTACCCCCCAAACTTCACTCCCATACAGTAATATGGGTTTGATAAGCGCCATCTCCCATCATTTTTTTTAGTTTAAAGAGGGCTTTCAGTGCAACCTTTGCCAGTTCGTTTCTGCCTAAAGTGAAATTGCCTATGACACTAAAGAAAATCCCGAGGTACTTATACGAGGTCACGTTTTCAACTATCTTATTCTGGTACTTAAAGGTATAATTATTCATGGCTCTGCCTGTGTTATTGAAGACTACCACTTTCGTTTTATCTAGATTCAGTCTCATTCTATTTTCATTTGTAAAAATATTCATGTAGTCTAAGTATTGCTGCAGGACTTTTTCCCTCCTTGCAAGTAGGACCAAGTCCTAAATTCAATGAGTTCATTCTGTGTTAGGGGGATTTCAGCTAAGTTGTCAGAGGTCATTTAGCTATAAGTTGAATAAGGCGGTTGAAAGGACACACCCCTGTTTCACGCCTAAGTTAGAGACAAATGTCTCAGACAGTTCCCTATCTCCTTTCGCTGCAGCAAAGTCATTGCTAAACATGCTATTTAAGACAAAAAGAAATTTACCCGTTACTCCCATCTTGTCTACTTTCTCAAACAACCTATTTCGTGGTATTGTATCTAACGCTTTAGAGAAGTCGATAAAACAGCTGAAAAGGAGTGGTCCCAATTTAAAATCCTGTATAGGGTTTTGAGGCGTGTCAATTTCACACAAGTCGTTTAAATGGGAATTTCAGGCAACCATGCACAGTGTTTTTTTTTTCGGGTTTATTTTATCTCACTATGAGTGTTTTATCCTCTTGACCCCCCCTCCCCCCCTAAATAAAACCCTTCCCCCCGAAAAGCAACAAAAACAACAAAACAAACCAGGACAACAAAATTGTCAAATTTACAATATTAATCGATTATTAATTTGTATTTTTCTCATTACAAAATCTTTAGTTGCTATTCCTGGCTAACACCCACTACATAGTGATATATATTTAGAATATTAATATATAAAGTTGTCTTAGGGTGCTGTATTGCATGAGTATAGCTGCATAGTTATGGAAGAGAAAACAGTTTATCAGTTGTCATTATATACAAATCAAAGCAAAGTATCACTGCTATATTTACATAGTAAGTCAAGCTATTGAATCACTGAATGTCTTTGATTGTACCTACAGACTAACCTAGAGACTAACATTAGAATATATTTGCCATTCTAGCCTCATTCTGAGGACCAGCAGTAAAAGGTTTGACATTCATTCAGTGTAAGAACCAGACTATTGCAAAGAATAATATATCTACCCTTCTGCCTCATTCTGAGCACCAGAACGAGGTTAGACATCCAGTGCAGCAATATCAGTCTATTTCATAGAACAATATATTTGCCCTTCTAGCCTCATTCTGAGGATCTCCAGAATAGGTAGCAATACCAATATATTGCAAAGAAGTATATTTATAAAGTCAGTCTATGCAGAAGGGATAGGCAGATATTGGGACTTGGTTCAAGGGGTGAAAAAACAGAAATTACTGGACGTCTGCAGTATTTTCTTGGTTAGGTCTTTTGTAACAGTATCACATGACAAATTACTTCTTCAAAACACTTTCCTATCATTATGCAACAGCATGAGATTTTGAATCCTAAATTTGTGCCAAATATTATGGCAGGAGAGAACTTTTAAATTTACAATTGGTGTAATTATATGAAAATAGAATTTTGATTCCACCCTACCTTTTTTTTAGCTTTTACCTTCAAATGTATCATTTCGATTTAAGGGCCTCAAAAGTATAGCTTAGTGGTGAGCCTCAATAGCCATACTAGGAAATGCATGACAATACATTTTAGTACTGATTCTACATGAAGTAAATAGTTGAATGGAAAATATTTCTTGGCTTGAGTGATGTGTTGTGTGCACTTTCAGAAGGAACAGAGTGTTAGTGGCAAGAAAGGATTGCTCAACATGTGTGAAGGGTAGATCCAGGTTTGGTAAGACCGGGGATAGGGGAGTTAGACATGAAAGGAGTGTAACAAATATTGAATGAGACTTTTCCTGAACAGTAAATAACACCTGTTACTAAAAAATATTTAAAATTAATAAGTTTGTCTGAATTGTTTAAACATATGTTATTTTCTCTTACATTAGAATTAAAACTATTCACTGTTCTTGATCATTGCACTATTATACAGTAATAAATGGTCTTCACAGATGGAAGTAGYAATAGAAAATGAGCCCTTTTTGAAAGTGGATATAATATATTGATTGCGTATTTTTCATATGAGGACATGTTCTCATTTGGATACATGTCAGAGCCAAGTCAATTTGGAAAATCTTGTAAAACTATATGTTGACTTGGAAACTAATGACAATAGGCCTGTTGCAACGACAGGTCACATGACCCTAATCCGCTATGCCATCCAGCATATTTTCCCATACAAATCATTATAAATATTTAATCTTATATTTAATGCCATTTCTATTATAGTCAACACCATGAGCTAAAACTTGCCTTCTTACTAATATTGAGGTGCTCTTTCCATTTCTGGTGTTCATTTTAACAGAACATGTCTTTTCACGGTGTATAATTTACCTTTTCATCATTACTGTTTCATTAGAAACACCGACGCAGCTCACACTAGTTTTTAGCTAGTTATATCTTTTTATGGGGGTTAGGGTCACGTGACCTGTTGTTGCAAAAGGCCTATTTTTGATCTTTTGACCTGAGAATTCAAATGAAGGGGGTCATGTCTTGATGCCCTCAGACTGTTAAAACCAAAGTAAGGTTGCTTAGCTCAAACTTGTCAGAACAAAAAAAAGGCCTGTTAAGATGACCAAGATGACGGCCTATACCACACGAGGTGTGTACAGGCTGAGAAGGAGGATCTGACAAGTATCTGTCACTCACATCATGGATAATCGGTACGAAAGTTCATAAGCCGACCAGAACTAGACTCAGGTACCTTCTAGGGACCACTTTAAAAACTTTTCTATAAGCATCCATGCCTTACTATACAGGCTCAGTAAAAAATGGTAGACATGAGTATTCTAACGCTTATACTGTAGTACGAGATTTTACAGTGTGAATTGAAAAACTGTTGGCACCTTGAAATATTCCAGGAATGTTCTATTGTTTTTGGCCAATCAGAGTTGACTTTCTAAAACCACAAGATAACAGAAAGATAAGAATAATAAATATGTCTAGGCACCCATGGTTTTCCTATTAGCACTGTAAAGGCCAATTTTCATCCAGCATACATTGACCATAAAAAGTGAGAAGAATTTAGACAAGTTTGGTATAGCCTTACTCATCACCATGCTGTCTTAAGGAAAATAGAAGCTCACCAGTCAAAAAATATCATACAAGTATTCTTGCAAATTTCATCCAACAAGTATTCTTGCTATTCTTGCAAATATCATCCATAAAATGAAGAAAATTTCAATTTTTGAAACTAAAATTTAAAAAAAGATTTTTTGGACAACTGTTGCCTAGTAATTTGAATTTCTTTGGAAATTTTACATTCCTAAATGACTTTTACTAGACAAATAAACAACATTTATATGGCCATGAAGCAAATATGGATGAATAATAGTCCTTTGTAAATAAGAATCAAAAAGCTTACCCCATAGCAAAACAACTTGTAACTCAACAACAATTACAATGACGAGGAAACAAAGAGCACTTGAAATACTGCAGAGCTGAGTTGACAGCAAACATTCTAGACTAATTCTTCAATCTGAATCATCAGTCAACTTTATCCTACCATTCAAAGATCAGATCAGTTGTGATAAACAAATACAGAAGAACAGGAACATTTGATCAGCTGTGGACTTGATCCCCAACTATTCTCCTAGAAGGAGGAGTCATTATAGAAGATGTATGGCTGTGGATCTTTATCCTTCATGTTTTGGTGGGGTGTACCATCCTAAAAGGATATAAAAATAAAACCATTCTTACCTTGACACTTATAATTAGCTTCATTCGAAGTATAACTTGTAGAGCTGCATCAAAAATGTATCMCCCCYCCCCCCCCCACCAAAAAAAAAAAAAACCAAAAAMAAMAACAACCAGTAATTAACAGTTTAGTAGAAGGTGGCAACACACGGCCTTATCTTGGTTCAACAATTATTAACAGCTATTTACTAGCTTTACTTTTAACACATGCCAGTCCAATGATGAAAAACTATGAAAAACATTAGTACAGTTTAGGGTCAGAATCAACCAAGTTTACTAAAATTTCTTCCAAGTGGAAGTATCAACCTTAACTAATTCAGTCTGGTTAGAATAGTGCTCCTGGGTCATACATGAACTGTATTATAGCTGCAAGAGGTGCCTTCACCTGCTTTCAGCCTGACCCCACTGAGATGTGCTCTTTTATTTCTGGCTGTGATTAGTGTTAGGTAACAAGTTTTAATAGAGAATTTAAACGTCTGTTTCATTTAAACTTCAATCTGTTAAAGAGTCTTTCATTTCATTATCTAACAACATTACCATTTTTTTCGTGGATTTGAACTAGTGATTTAAAGGACTGTTGAGCTCTGACCAGACTGTACACACCAGGCTTTAATCCAATAATAAAATAAAACAATGTCAGATCTACATTGAACAATAAAAAAGAGATGATCACATGTTAAGAGCTTGATACTGTTTTTATTCACGAGTTTCCATAATTTATAATATTCTGAACAAGCAGGTCTGTGAGCGAGTGATTGAATGATATGATATAATAAAATGAGTGAATAAAAAAGATATCAGGCTCCTAACTTGCGATAATTTGTTTATTACACATTTAGGGTAGATAAAATGACAAAATTTACAGTTTCCAGTTTACTGTGAAGTGATATTGTATCACTTCACTGATATGGTCTTTATTCAAGGCTTTAACACATGGATATGGACCCTAAATGTGTAAGAAACTACATTATCACTACATTATTAGCCTTTCAATTTTTCAAATTTCTTTCATTTCTTGCTGCATAAAATGTCAACTGACAAATGAAGAGTCCCCCAAAAAGCCCCATGATGCAACACATTTCCACAACTTTGAAAAAGCTAATTAGGACTAAAACCAAAACAAATTTAGGATAATTATCAATTATGTATTAAGGCTTTCTCCTTCTTTCTTTTTCTCCCTCTTTTTCTTTTACTTCCTAGTATTTCCTTGCTTTTCCCTTTTCTTCTATTTTCCCTTTCTAACATTTTGATATTTATTTCTTTTTGGTATTTTTTTACATTTATGATAACTGTTCACTGTTCCAATCAGTGGATATAAATTATACATTAATTTATTTAATATATAAATTGTAAGTCTTCTTTTATTTATACCTTTTTACTGTCCTGGAAGTTAATTCTTGCCTTTCCTTTGACCAAGGTTGCAGTTATCTGTACTATTACTGCTTCTATCGTGTAGGCACTACTCCAGCCCTTAACGACAACATAATTTTATCATTTAATATTTAACAAATAAAACTGCTTTTTCTGTGCTCCGTTAAGTAATAAAAATAAAACATGCAGGAAGTGAAGTTAGCACAAAAGAAGTGTAAGGAGAAGCAYGGGCCATAGGCGAGGAGTGCTTCACAAATTTTTGAGTGCTTATGGCACTTCCTTAGTTTTATTATTAATATAGTTATTGATTTTATTTTGGTATTGAATTTATTTAATATACAAAAAAAAAATGGTTGCAGGGTTGCCCGATCTAGCAGCACTTTGCGCTCACAGATTGTATCAGCACTGTGCTCGTAATAAAGCAATCAGTGCATGCTTACTATCCTAACTATGTATTTAATAAATAATCATAAAATATGTGAAAATACTCCAGTTTTGAGTTCTCTTTGCCCAACCTTAGTCTCATCTGTGCGTTAAACTATTCCAAACCCCACAGCATTTTAACCAACTCATATATTATAAAATGGACCTTAATAAAAGAAAAGAACACTTTCGTACACAATCAAGGCTAAGACTGAACAAAGACAAACTTAAAATGGGAGTATTGAGTGCAATGAAATCCTTTTACTCACCTGTGGGGTTAATAATTCCATGCAGATAGCTCCTCCACTGAGAACATAGCTGAAACATTACAAATACCAAATAATAAGCTAAAAATCATTTCATTCATTGATTATTTATAAAACTGGGATGTAAAGATGATGAGTATGATGATATGACTGTGGAAAAGGTGGCACTGAGCAAAACCTTCGTACATATTCAGATTTTGTTGCTTCAAAACAGAGCCAATAATCCAGTGCAATCAGCTTATTTCAATTATCACTAGGTCTTTACCCTCTTTGAAAACATTAATCATTATTATGGCTATTTATGATGTCATATTTAAAACAATGATTGAGACATTTTATAAATAAGATTATTCTTATAATTCATTTGTCTAACAATTGTTGCAGTTGGGAGGACCACAACATTTTGAATGCTATAAGTAGTCTTCATCAGGCGATGGTGTAGACTGGAAGTCAGACAACCACTGGTACACATGCAGAGTAAAAGAAGCCATCCATGTTAGACTCCATCCAACAACATCAATAGGGACAGCGGAATTGACATTCTGGAAGCGTGAATACAGACCATTCAAAAGCACTTCCTCACGCCTACCACCGGCAACCAATCACAGCCCAGACGGGATCCTGAAGGGAAGGAGACTGACAGTTTATAACGAGACCACCTTCCAGTCTACACCATCACCTGATGAAGACCAGCAGCAGCAGGTGAAACGTCATGGTCCACCCAACATCCACAATCGTAAGACAAATGAAAAAGTATAATCGTTGATATATATCCACAATGAAAAACCTTTTCCATTTTATGGCTAAATACTCACCCTGCACTGATAATAGGATAACAAACTCTGGCAAATGGTGGATCAAATGGAAATTTATCCTAGAAATGACAATGAACAAGGAAGGTGATCTTCGAGAAAAGGCCTAGTACAATTTTGCACCTTAGAAAAATATTATTTCGAGAACAGTTTATAATCTGACACAAACTATGTGCTTCATGCACTGTCATAATTCATGCAAGATTCTTTGATAGAAAAATGTCTGCAAGGCAGAAAAATTCTTTCATAAATGAAGTTATAATAAGTAAATATGATATTCAAATAGAACACACAATGTAGACATCCATTTTAACTAGAGCTTCCAGAACAGGAAGTTCTGTTCGATTGATTTGGACAATCACCATGGCTGAAGCAACGTTTAACAAAATGCACAAATTTCAATTAAAGTCTTAAGCTTTTACATGTAGTTTGCTTTTGATTATGTTTTCTCGATTTCTTGTTTTCTATGGCTTTCATAGTATCTGTATTTTCTGTGTAAATAGCTTGTTTCAGAGGTGTAATGATCACAGTCAAAAGTACCACAGATGGTCATGTTGTTTAAATTCTAATTTTTTTCCTGAAATTGCCTCGCTGTCATAGCTGCCTGTGATAATACTGACAGCAACCATGACATTATCAACTATGGTTGGGCACATCTATCATGGTGGTCTTAATATTCAACACATTATTACTCACAGTAAAGGATAGATTTAAATGAATATGATCAAGTCCTTCTTGCTTTTTCAGTTGGATCATATCTTTATGTAGTGTACTCTCTGGGTCAACCCTAAATGAAGTAATTAAATAATATAAATAAAACTTCAATATCAGAACCTCAATAAAACATACACATGCATTCTATACTTTCTTTATTTATAATTCTAGTGGTTTCATTCCAGCTGGTTTGTTGCCAGTCATGATTACAAACCACATTAGTTTTTATATTTTTTTCTGGTACAAAATTACTGATCAAAATGACTAGCAAGGCAAATAATTATTTGACCGGTTAAGTGCCAATTCTGGCTGCACATTGCCTGATGACTGGCTGTCACTTTTGCCCTGTTAGTTAAATATGAATTTATAATATAAAATTGAGAAAATTAGGTAAAAAAGCAACAAGATGCCAGCCTAGTGATGTATAAACAAACAGACACTAGATAATATTATTTTGAAAAAATACAAAACGTGCGCGCGTGCTATGTGCAGTTATAAAGCACGCAGGGATAGGTAGAACACGAGAGAAGTGTTAGGAGGAGCACAACTTGTAGCTGAGCATCCCCAAGTGCTTTATAACTCCACACAGCACAGCAAGCAAGTTTTTTATTTCTTTTATAGATTAATGCAAAGGGCGCGTGCGTGCTGTGTGCTCTCATAAAGCATGCGCTCCCAACCAATCATAATGTGAGAATTTCATAATACTTATTGTATAAAATATATTTGTACATACCTCATAATTTTAATACTCCAGTCATAGAGATTGTCATCATTTAATTGGACAGAATAATTACCTAGATAATATAAAGACCAAAACCTATTTTAGGGAAAAGCTCAAAATAAACATGAATGCATGGATACACTAAAGCKGTGGTCACATTAGAGAATTTAACTTTGGTTACTGACAAGTTAACTGTAATATTTTTAGTGTGACCGGTCTTATGTTAGTGTTAACTATAATTTAGAAACTCGGGCGGCATCGGCGAAAAACAAAGGAATTTAACTTTAGTCTAACTAAGGTAGATGTGTGGGTTAAGCTTTAGTGACAGTTAAGATCAGAGCAGATAAGAAGAACCAATCACAAGAGATTATTTGACAGGTAATTGTGAGAATTGTCTGCAGCATACAGGTACTACAGTAAAACTTTGAAGTTCTAGTTCTAGGTTTTGCTTGCAGTAAATACAGCTTCGACAAAATGAACTTTGAGGATCATTTCCAATATGGATCGTAATCGTATACTGGGTCGGTGATCATATGGGTGAACCCAAAACTGAGATCGTGGGAGAACCCATATTCTGCGCTCTATTAGTCTGCTTCGTTTTCGTCGTAGTAGATGCATCAAATTCATTATAGATGAAATCGCGTACATCCTTCTTTGCCTTATGATCTGCAAAACGTGGAGAAGACTACGCAGCCTTGTTCTTCTGTTTCGATTTTTAAAGCTGGAAAGAAAAATAATCTGAAGGGCGCTATTTCTCCTATTCGCCATTTTGTTGTTACGTTAACTATGGTTATGAAGCACTAGTGTGACCCCAATCCCAAAATTTGCATAACATAAGTCTGACCATATCTACAAATTACGTCATCAACTTAAGTATAACTATAGTTAAATTCTCTAGTGTGACCGCAGCCTAAAAATCCAAAACCATTTACAATACTCGATTTAAGAAATAGAAAATGTGCACATGCGCTGTGTGTAGCTATCGTTGCTGTGTGCAGGGGTTGGTAGAAGAGAAGAAGTGTTAGGAGAAGCATGACATGTAGTGAAGTGCTTCTCAACACTTTTCCAGTGTTTTGTCACTCTCCAAGTGCTTTATAACTGCACACAGCACTGCAAGCAGGTTTATAAAATACAAATTATGATAAACGTTATTTCATATAGGGACATAGCCTTATTTGACGCCATCTCTCATAAAGGTAGAAATTTCAAAAACCTGAATTTTAGGTAGGGGTGGCCTGGAACCTTGCCTGTTGCCATGGCAACTTATATCTATAGCTACTTTTGAAGAGTAGCTAGAGTACTTTACTGTAATACTAGCAAATTTGGTTGCTTTTGATTGAAATTGGGCTGAGATAGCTTATTGTAAACTTAGGCTGCTCAAGTATTGAGAATATGAGCTACTTTTGAAGAATAGCTAGAGTACTATAATACTAGCAAATTTGGTTGATTTTGATTGAAATTGGGCTGAGATAGCTTATTGTAAACTTGTAGTATTGAGAATATGATGTCATCAAGAAAAATGGCTTCAATTTCTTAAACTCCAATATCTTTTGAAGGCAAAAAGACATTTGAAAACAAGAAAAGTGACATTTTACTTCCCTATCGAAGGCAAAAAAAGAGCAAAAATGTGCAGAAATTTGATTGTAGTGGCACTTTAACCTGTGGATATGATGTGCATTAAGGGACAACTTCTTGGGTTATTACCTGATTTATAACTATCAGATCTGTATACATCTCTCAATTCTTTCATGAGTCTGTCTGTTGCCTGGACTGATCCACACACAGAACCCTGAACATGAAAACAGAGGTTTAAATATTCAGTCTGACCCATAAATAACACAATTATTATCAAGTCTACTACATGTAAAAATAATAATAAACCATTGTTTATTGCCAAATGCCTATTGATTAGTATGAGTATGAGTATGAATATTATTGAGTACTCCCCTTCAGGGCTTTTCAGTGAACAAACTATTAATTAATTAGCTAAGCAGTAGACCACCATCAATCAGATAAATCACTGACGTACAAAAAGGTACATGGAAACTGTGGAAAAGTACATTGATTGACTGTAGTGCATTGTCTTGATCAATGCATTTTATTGTTGTTCTTGTCATAAAATATGGCTGCCATCACATGAGTGTACTTCGTGATTATTGTCCAGCATCAGACTGTATTTTATTATTGATCTTGTCATCCAATATGGCTGCCATCATGTGAGTGTACTATATGAGCCTTGTCAAACATCAGACTGTATTTTATTGTTGTTCTAGTCATCCAATATGGCCATCGTCACATAAGTGTACTACATGACCCTTGTCCAGCATCAGATTGTATTTTGTTGTTGTTCTAGTCATCCAATATGGCCATCGTCACATAAGTGTACTACATGACCCTTGTCCAGCATCAGATTGTATTTTGTTGTTCATGTCATCCAATATGGCTGTCACATGAGTGTTATGAGCCTCAAAAAGCATCAAACTGTATTTTATTGTTGTTGTTGTTCATGGTATCCAATATAGCTAACATCACATGAGTGTACTACATTGTCATCCAATATGGCTGCCATGAGTACCACATGAACCTTGACAAGCATCAAACTGTATGTTATAGTCGTTATTGTTCATACTATCCAATATGGCTGACATCACATCAGTGTACTACATTGTCATCCAATTGCAATATGGCTGCTGTCATATGGATATCATACTTTTCATTCAATAAGACTGCTGTTATAGTATATAATTTATATATATATAATAATATATGAAGCTTAGAAGAATCCTACTGTACCTTCAAATGGTCTTCTCGTCTGCTTAATCTCAGTCTTTCTAACACTGCAAAGTTTTCTGCACCAATTTCATGTTCTTCTTTTTTGTCATCAACCCTAACAAACAAACAAACAAACAAATAATAAACATAATAAATAATATAAAAAATATTAGACAAGTTTTTTCAATTTTATCCATGTCTCTGATCGGTGGAGTACTTTAGCTCTGCTATAGGTTTTGACACTTTAATAATTCTCATTGATAATAAAAAATAAAAAATGCAAGTAATAATAAATAAATAATAAATTATAATTTAAGGCAATGATAGTTCATATTCCATACTCTTCTTCATCCTCCATTTCGTAGTTATCTGAGTCTTCACTGTTTTCATCATTATCCTGAAGGAGAAAAAAAAACATTTAATTCCAGTATTGATGGGTTGCAAGCATTCTCAAGACAGTCAAAAGACAAAAACATGGCTGCCATATTGGCGCCCTTGACAATGGATACTTATGAGAAATATTTTGTTAAACGGCTCCAACATTACCCCAAGAGGCAGCAATGGCATAATTTGCAATCGTCTCTTTCACAGTTCCCTGCACCATCTTGAAAGGTAGCCATGCCTTTGCATTTAAGCGAGACAAACGGTGAGCTTGCAATGATAGAGACATGTGAATAATTGTTCAAGGTGTTAAAAAAGCATCTATATCATTGCAAGCTCACCGCTCATCTCGCTTCGATGCAAAGGCATGGCTACCTTTCAAGATGGCGCAGGGAGCTGTGAAAGGGACTATTGAAGAAATGCAATTTTTTATTTATTTCATCACTACAAAATATCAGTTCTGTATTATCCATAGAAGCAACCATTGCCTGATGGAAATAGTACATGAAAATGATTACAAGCAGTATGAGCAGACTGACTACATGGCGGTTGATCCTGTTATGATACTTCATTATCCTCACCTCTTCGAGGCCCTCATCTTCACTTTCATCTTCATCCATTGGTTCTGTCCGATTTATTTCATCCTTTTGAACAGAAAAAAACATATTGAAACCTAATTGTCTTTGGTATAATTTTAGACTTGAATATATAGTTTCTCAAGCTATGATTGGTCGGGCGACTGGTGATTCTGAGACGATAATCCTTACTAATCAATACATTTACTACTAATGAGGAAGTTAACACGTTTAACAAGTTATTGAAATAAATGTATGCTCTTAATTGCCCTATTTCACTATGACGTCACTGCTTGTTTCTGTGGGGATAGAATCGCCAAATCCAATCCAATCCAATCCAAAATTCAACAAAATTTGCTCCTAGCGAAACAGTTTAATCTAAAATGGCCTGTAATATGTGTTAATGTGTGCTAAAAATATTCTGAGTGTTTGCTGGCTATTCTACATCTCTTCGTGTATTGATACAGGTTTTAGAAGAATTTTAAGTGAATTTGCGTTGATTTGACCCCCTCCGACGGCCACGATCCTTTGCGTTTAAACAATAGATTGTTTTGATGTGACATCATAGTGAAATAGGGCAATTATGTACATTATATAATACATTTTTTATTGAACCCTGCATAGTATTTAAAATTATAAATGATTAAAATGAAATGTATCCTGATGGGCCAATTTTTCCAGCCAACGTACATTTCTTTGTAAAATTCCATGTTTTAAAAATATCATAATTTGATAGCTTACATGTGATATTCACAAAGTTTCACAGTTTTTCAAAATATCTGTATGACAACTTAGAATATCAATTATCTTTTTCTGTTTTTAACAAATTTCTTTAAAGCGATATCACATGAAAAAGCTCTAAAACATTGCTGAATCGCTGACATATTCCAAACAATAAAACTTGGGAGCTAAGACCTAATAGCATTCTGGGTAATCACCTAATGAGAAACAAGCGAAACAGATACTATCATCGTCTGGTAAATTTTGAACCGACAGTCTTTGAACCATGTACTATGGGCCCAGAAACCTGTTACCTCTTAAAGATATAGCTATTATAACCAAGAATATATTTTCYTAGCATAATGTTTTGTCTTCCATCATTTTATTATTTATTTTTTTGATATCATACTTGACACTAATTCTAAAGCCTGGCGGCACATAGAGAGGAGACAGGAGAGAAAGAATAACCACCCACTGACTTTCTTTTCAAAATTCACATTAGTATTTTCATGTACTAATTTATGTTAAGTCTACAATTACATGCCAAAATTAACATACTGGCATTTAGACAAAGAAAGAATGATTGCTAATATCACAACAAAATCCACAACAATAGGATTTCTCCATAAATAACATTAAGAACACCATCTAGCAGCACATCAAGAAGAGTTACATGCAAATACCCATGTATCAAGTCATGTTTTAAAGTTGAGATGTTTTTATGGACTTTAAAAATATAAGTTAAATTTAGATAATAAATACAATGTTAAACAGTCAACCGCAAAGAGGTGAATAAAAATAGAAACCCATATTTGCGTTTGGAGATTAGTATTTTATGTATTCAGTTCAACAACGAACTCAAATCTAGGATAGAGCTATAAAAATTACTACAAAATAAACCACATATAAAAATTCAACAGAAGCTGAATTCAATTTTTGGATGGCGAATTTAAATGTTTCAGTAAGTAAAGCTTATATTTTAAGCAAATTATTCATCATTTTAATACTTCAAGAAGAACATATTAAATCAAGAATATTGCATATATACCTTTATTAGAGAAAAATATAATAATATRAATGGGAAATGATACCTGTATAAGTTGAATAGATGACAAGTTTTCGATATTTGGAGGTAAAGGAAGATTTTGACTTTTGAATAGGTCAGTGATTAGCTGTTGTGTTGCTCGAAGAAGCTAAACAAAGACAAAATCTGGAGTAAGAATAAAAATGGAAACAGGACTACGAACATGGAACAAAACACTGAAAGAGTAAAAAAGAGAAAGCAAGTGATTTACCTGTTTTGGTCCCGAACAATTAACTCCATTATTGCTGAAGGACTCGACTACTTGGTTGATAGCTGGGTCTTCGCTTTCACTAAACCACATCGGAGCAAGGTCGGGATACGACTCCTAAATCACATAATTTTACCAATAAACTCTCGGAACTAGTAACGTAACAGTGTAAGCTTGAAATTAAGACGCTTTAAACTATCCAAAAGAAGAGAGCAAGAGTTGAATTTTACCGAGATATTGCAGTGAATAACATGCTCGATGTTTGTACTTGGACATACGAAGCGGCAAATCAGCTCGTCTAAACCATTGGATGATACTCGGAAAAACTCATGTTCGGGCCCAAAAGTCTTTTCCAAGACAGAAATTTCTTTCTTGAGCTCTTGGAACCTAGACATTTGCCTGGCTAGGGCAGAAATCGTTAAAATTACTCCAAGTTTTCCATCAACAAACAAAATATTTCTCCTTTTTGGTCACAGTCGGTCGGGACTATTTCTTTGGAACGCCGCTGTGCACATTTTCAAATTCTTTAAATGTTTTCGTTGAGTGCTCGACGGACATCGGAAATGAATCGGAAACTAATCGGATATATGATTCATCGTGGGGAACTCGTGTGGGGGAGACTAGCTGGGGAGACTAGCTTAGGGACGGACCATTAGATTTTTGAGGGGGGAGGGGGGGATATTGGGCTATTTATATTGTGCAGGATTTTTTTTTTACCCTCAGGGACTGGTCATAAATTAGGGGGTGGGTCACATAATTTTTAACTCCTTCAAAGGGGTGGGCTGTTGATAGAATTTGACAACTAAAAAGGGTGGGCCATTACAAAATACAGTAGTATTATAATTGTCATCATCAGAATTTCTCAAGGAAATTTGCAGTTGCAGAGGATCTGGTTACGAAGTATGTAGAACGAACATCTGCAGTACATTCGAATGAAAAAAAATATGGGCAAATGAAAAGAAAAWAAATAAGGAAGCAGAGAAACTTAAAGCATACGAAGACTATGTCAGGAAAGACATACAAGAAAGCGGAATGCTTAAGAAGCAGAGGGTTGCAGTCTTGGACTACGTTTTAAAAAAGCACAACTTGCTCAAGCTCAAAATGTACAAAAGTGAGAAAGTCCAAGTTATAAGTGCTTGGCTGTCTATGCAGCTTTTAAATACTACGACAAGTACAACAGAGGAAGAGCTAGAAAAAGATGGTACTTCACGCGAGGACACTGAAGGTGATGATAATTCATACGAGGACAATAATGAGGATACTGAAGATTTGGATAGCGACGAAGAAACTGACATTGTTACTCGTGAAATAGGAATTACTGACAGTGAGGAAAACGATGACAGAGAAAGAAGAAGTCGAAAAAGTCAATGTTACAATAAGTGGTAGACGTGTGCAACCAAGAAAATTCTTTTGGGATTTAGATTTTTTTCAGGGGTGGCATCTGCAATTTTGCTTCAAAACTGGGGTTGGGTCCTCTAATTTTCAGCATCATTTTATGATGGGCCAAGATAAGAAAAAACACTGATTCTATTCTGATTTTGCCCCCCCCCTCACCCCCCCTCCCCTATACTTTATGACCAGTCCCTCATAGCTGTGCAGGAATCTCGTTTTTGGACATCATGATTTGCTTGCACGATATGTCTTTGAGAGTTAGCTTTTTTACGTTTTTTATGGCCATGAAAGCCTCTTATTTGACCAAAAAGAGGAATATCTCTGAATTATTGTACGACAAGTAAGGGTTCATAGTGCTCTTAAACGATAAACTATTTTCATAGGGGAAAGTAAGGCGTCAAAAGTATATTATGAAAGGATACAAGAATAATATTAGGAAACAATTTTCCTATCCATAATCAGTCCGTGATCCCACCAAGATGTTATTGTTACTGTTATTAGTATTTTTGGCCTTGGTAATGATTATTGTTCTTTATGATATTTGTTATATCTTATTATATTTTGTATCCTCTATTTGCTATTTCAGTTGTATTTATGAACGTTAATTTACCCTAGATTATTGCAATGGAAAAAGAAATATATACAAGCGGACAAGTTATGCTCCAATTCACCCTTCACAGTATTGGCTTTCATATGATAAAGGTGAAAGAAATATGAGGGATGTGCCTTGAGATTTGTTATAAATGTTCTGGCCATACAGCTATTTCAAAAAAAGGTTGATGCATGATCCCCCTCAGTGAATACTGAATAGTGCTTTCCAAGACCAAAGGGCATTGTGGGTCTCGTTAATTTGAAATAAAAAATTAATACAGCAATTAACTCTCTAGATGTTGTTACTAGTATATTGTTTCAAATGGAATACACTAAAGATAGGATAGATAATTGTTATTAATCCTACTTTAGACAATATCACTATGACCCACAATGCACTTCGCCGGTCTTGGACTACACTATTCAGTATGCAATATTCAGTATTCAACTTTTTTTGTAATAGCCGTATAGTTCTTTTATAAAATATCATTGATAAAGCTTCTTGCATAATTTTTTCTGGCACTTTCTCATGCACGAATTTTTTCTTCACTCTTGAAAGGCGCTGTGCTCGAATTTTTTTGGCTTTTTTGCTGCAACCCCCTTCAAAAATCTAATACCACTCTTTCGACGTCTAGCGGGTTATGTGAAATGTTCTGCTATGAAAATGAAATCGAAGATTGATATATTTATCCCGAACGAACACCGATGAGTTGCCGAACTTATCCTGTATGCCGAATATAGAATACTAAGTCATATACTAAGTGGCTTCCATCACGTGACCAAAATCCACTGAAACTGCACCTGAATTACCGTCCTCATGAACCTATACGATTTTGGGGGTAGCTGAAATCCCGTTTTTCATTTCTTTCCCTTCCTTCCCAGTATCTTATCCTCATATTTATCTCTTTTACTCTGACCAAGGACTAGCGTCCGGAAAACGTCAGTAAGTTTTTTATCTTTATCCTTATTTAAACGTCAGTAAGTTTTTTATCTTTATCCTTATTTTATTAGTTTACTCCTACGAAGGACTAGCGTCCAAAACGTCAATACGTTTTTTCATCTTTTCACGGTGTATAATTTACCTTTTTAAAATATCATCACTGTTTTATTAGAAACACCGACGCAGCTCACGCTAGTTTTTAGTTTTTATAGATAACTATCTCTTCTTATATTTAAAGCCATTAATTTCCGAGGTTCAGCTGAAAAAAAGTCGAGTTCTGAATTAAAGTGCATTGTGGGACTATTTTAGGGGACGAAAAAGATGCAGATGCAGACCCAGTTTTTTTCCAGCACAACCTCTGAATATGATTTTTCTTTTTTTTGCAAAAATTATAATTCCAGTGGCGGAATCAGAGTGAATCCATGCACGGACATGAAACCCCCTTTTGTAAAAATTATTAGCGAATTGCATTGTCCCACCTGTATTTATTTACTTGATTTTTTCTATCTTTTATAATAAAAAAAACAGCTCCAGCCTATTACATGGTGAGCCGAGTATCATGGTTATGGTATACCGTATGCACAGTATATTAACTTTAGAGGTATGCAAGAAGGGCTTTGCTTCAGGGAAAACTCAGCGGTAACTCAACTAGCGTACACAGGAAGAACATGTCAATCATCTTGAACGCAAACAATATCACTTAATCCATCTAATAAGTCAGTACACAAATCGCAGCCGTAGCCATTTGCGTTATATTTTTTTCTGTTGACCTATACTACGTTAAATCAACAAAAACAATACAAAGAAACAAACTTACGTTTATAGTTTTTAATACAATTAACTTCCGTAAAAGTGGAATGCATGTTGATTCATGAGCTTAAAAAGTATTCTCCGTAATCAGAAAAAAACTTAAGCCTATATTGCTCCAAATAAGCGTCCCCATTAGTGCAGTAGAGTAGGTGATACTTCACTAAGGTAGCCCAAATCTATTTTTAACTATATGTATAGGTAAAACTACCTCTCGGTCGGTCTGAAAAATGATGACTGAAAGCGCTAGAAAAATTAGAATCTAGCACTTATTGTTGATCATTGTTTTCAGTAAACAATTAAGTCAAGTGATTGGGCTTTGTTCACGAAACTCTCCTGCACTTGTTCGGAATTTTACCACACGGTTGAACATGTCATTACCAATATAACACTAAAAATATCTGCACAACCGTATAAGGTCATCTTAAAAGACAATAGAGTCTAAATAGGTCTGAGGGGAAAACATGCAGGGAATGAAATAGTTGCATTTTTCAAGTACTCAACTTAACACTTATTACCGGTAATGGCTGTATGTAATGAAGCCTTTTGCCTAGGGGCTAATGAGCATCCATAGAACAGAATTAACTATCAATAATTTTACAATTATCATTATGAAATCAATTCTGAAAATTCATCATCTTAAAAGTAGATAAAGGGGAAAAAAGCAGCGAGAAAAATTAAGTTTTACCTTTGAAAATAAAGTTTAACAATCTAGGCTCCTTCACGGTTCACTTAGACTGAGGTCATTTTGACGCCGGTGCGCCTGCGATTTTTGTGAACGGAAGACTTAAGTTCTCCTTCCGGGTTCATACATAGCTGTYGTCATGCCAACGTCATTTTGATTTGCAAACGAAGAAACCTGCTTTTGAACTAAATCCAATCAGATGGCTGAATAGTTCACAGAGACGCATATATCTGTTCTGCAAACTAGTCTTGTGTGTAGCCGTGTAGGTCAAAAATTGCCGTGATGGAAGAATCCTTCGATGAGGTCTTAACACCAGTCTTGCAAAATATACTGATGGAAATTGAAAAAGATCCGAACTTGTCGAAAACTGAGCCCCACTATCAAGGTAAGCTGCCTTACACATTTCTACTCTTCCTGATTTATGAAATATTGATGTTGCAAAGACTAGATGGCCCGGCTTCAGGGCCAAGGGCAATAATGTACACCCGTCACCCCCCCCCCCCCATAGTCTTAATTCTTGGCATACATCTTTCTCAAATAAATCGGTTATTTCAGATGAATCCTAAGGATCAAAGTGGAAAAGTTCGAAAAGTTTAAAAACTACCAATGCTGGTCTTCCGGCTCAAAATGGATTGCTTTAAAACTCTTGACAGCTGTCAGGCGATAGCTACCATGTCATGCCACCACCCCACCCCCGTTAGGGAAGAAACTATAACTTTAATACGTTTAACAGATAAATGGTGCTTCATTGATAAGTCAATAACCTGACATTTTAATTTTTGATTTTGAAAATGTTATAATTCGCGGATCAATCGAGGGCGGAAACAATAGTAATATATATCATTATTTAATGACTGTGTTATTGTTGCCATGAAGATTATTTCTTGGTCAGGTAACAGGAAATCAATTTATAAGGCCATAAAGGCCATAAATATATCTTCTCTCTTTCGAGTCTACGAAGCTCTTTAATTTAGTCGGAGTCTGTTCCGTGTTTGGCGTTCTGGCATGATTTGCTTGCTTTTTGTTTTATCTTTGTTTTTGGGACCAAACTACATCCCCCAACACGATAATTCAGATCATTTAATTCCTGATATCTATTAACAGTTTTTAAATAAAACATTAGGACAAAAAGATCATTCTTTTCATTTCTTTCCTTAATCATAATAAACCAATGCAAAGTTTGTCAAACAACATAAACGGATCAACGTGGTTGGCCGCAGGCGGCCAGCCTCCAAAAATCGTGCTCAGAAGACAATGCAAATAGAATCGACTCACGCCTATTCAATTTAATTTAGAACCTTCTGGCTGAAAAAAAAAAAACAAAAAAAAACAAAACAAAAAAAACAGTTTGAATAACTTCTACGGGAAGTCCCATACGATCGAAAATTTCTCTGCTAAAAAAAAAAAAAAAATAAATAAAATGTCTGAAAAAGTCTTAAGATTTTTCATAAGTTTTTAAAATACTGAAATTCGATTTATAGCTCATGCAATTTACTGCGATCAAGTTTTGGACACTATTAGAGATAACTAGTGTGAGCTGCGTCGGTGTTTCTAATGAAACAGTAATGATAAAAAGGTAAATTTTACACCGTGAAAAGATGAAAAAACTTACTGACATTTCCTACGCTATAGTCCTTCGTCGGAGTATAAAAGAGGATAATTAGTTGTGTATTTTAGTACTGATCTATTTCCATGTTTTCTTTACTTTTTGTTTATTTTTACGAATACACGACAATAACAATATGTATATATTATCTCGTATTTTCGTAGAACCCTTCCAAAATTCGTTCCAGAAATTGAAGAGTTTCAAATTCCAATCCGCCAAATTTCAACAGTTTTATGAAAATATTTTATGAACACCAGCTAGCCCAGGTTTTTTATCCATTTACGACAAACTCACTTCATGGTCGCGATTATACCAAAAAAACTGAGTCCTGATCATCACTATTCCAAAACGACTGACCATTTTCGCGGCCACTGTCGGGCGATCCATGAAGTATGGTCAGACGTCATTTCAGAAACGACTATACCGATGACTGATTTCGCTTCTTTAGCTTATTTGGGCTGTAGTAATTACTACATATTTTACTATATTTGCTTTACTTTAATCTAAGAGTTTAATTCAAGTAAGCGAATTTACGCGTAGGAATTGCCGAGATAATTCCTAAAACAGGAAACAATCCCCTGCTCATTAAGAAGCGACTAAAGTGAAAACTATACTAAATTGCACAAGTAATTAATAAAACAATTACTATGAAACAAATAAATTAAGTAATACTAACTATAGCCTTAAGTTTTAAACTGGAAAAGGTTTAACGTACACTCAAGCTAGTCCGGCGATTTTAAGATAATAATTATGAATACTGGAAGACAAGGAATCAATTCCGTCAAACTGGGATCGAAGCCGAAAGATTCACTGACGGAAAAAGATGAATGTTCAATGGCAAAAACCAAGAGACCGTGAAGGCTCTCCTCGTTGGTTTCTTGAAAAAACTGAATAAATCGTGGAGCAAAATTTTTGACTTTAATTTCAATATTTAAAATTAAATGTTTTTTCCCCTGTTTTTATTTATTTTATTTATTTTATTATGAAGATCGCTTTAAAAGAAGAGAAATGCATGAATTATTCTTTTATTTTTCTTTGGTATACGTAAGTGAAATGTCTTTCCGTCAGTCACCATTCATTTTTCAACTAATGAGACATAATAAAGCCTTAATCGTTTCAGCAATGCTGCCGGTTTACCCCTGTAAAATATAAAAAGTTAATTTCCAAAACTATTAATTAGTTGCGTTCCTTTGGGAGACATTTCCGAAGAGAGTTATGATCTTCTTGCGTGAACCGGCCATTTTTCCAAACATGACTAAAAGTAATTATGGTTAAAGTTTCCGGAGACTTCAGTCCTCTTTGTTTCTTATACTGTTATCAGTAATTGCATTTTACACCGTGAGCAGGAACGTCCAACTGAAATCGGTGTTACACGGAAGTATGTTTGAAACACCTGTGTTTCATGTCACGGTAGCGGAGTCCCTGTCCCATTCTAGCTTCTAGTTTCTTTTTTTGTTGTGTGTGAGTAAAGTAGTTTGTTGGTTCTCTCCTGTGTTTCGAGGTTTTTTTATGTGTTCTCAGTCCTACCTCCTTCAGAAAGTAAACTTCTAAATTCTAAATTAGATAAGAATCAGAGGGCCGTAAGTTAGAAGCATATCTTTACTGCGATATATTTATTTTATTTTTTATTTATTTTTCAGTGATTTGAACAGAAAAGAAATCAAATATTTATTTACCCTCTTTAAATGAGATATTGGCTATCATTATTTCATTTTTCATTTCATTTAAACTGATTTAAACAGATATTTTTGTTGGTTTACGTATAAAATAACAACTTTTCCTAGTTGTAATATAAGTGACTTGCTGAACGTTATAAGTGACTTGCTGAACGTTAGATAAGGATCTTGTGTCCGTAATTAGTTAAGTTTTTTTAGCTAAAAATCTTGACACTAAATAAAGTTTATCTCTCTGACTTCCTCTTTCCTTGTGCCGGTTCACTGTGTAACATGCATGCGCACTTGCTCGTATATTCTCCAGTATCATCCATGTGAATAATTGACAAATCCACCTAAATTTAACTGATACTATTCGAACTTATTTAAGTTGGTGACTTTGACTTGCCATTCGTTCAATAAAAAGGATGCAACTTAAAAATTTCTCATGTGTGTGGAACATGTTTATAGTTTTGATACAAGTTGTCCAAGCTTCATTCACTTATACGTAAAAACATTTCATATACAGAGCCTATCATATGGTAGTTTTATTACGACTGTTCGTTCGCTCCAAAGAACAAACGACACCATTATTATTTCAAGTCGTCCGGGGTTTTGGCTTCCGTCAATCGAAAACTTACTAAATAAGACGAATCTTGTAACTGCATTGATAAAAGAAGGAAAAACTCCGAGAAAACGCACCGCGATGAATCAGAGTTTTCTGGGTCTCAGAAATTGATATGACGCTTTAATTTGATGCAGTTTTCTTTCCTTCTTATTGTGATCGGTTTATGCACGCCTTTCTCTCAAATTAAGTATCGGAGAGTCGATGTTGGATTTTCTTTTATTACTCCAAAGCTGTTAATGCCAACAGAAAAATCAATATATTTTTTTGCAATTCACTTTAATTACCTTTGCATCCGGTTTTTCCCCTCATATATATATTATTTATTTTTTTTAGATTGTTTCTTTGAGTCGATAACTGGCAACTCTGAGACCTGTCTCATGAAAGAAAACCATTCATTGAAGTCCAGGGAGCATCTCAATAATAGAGAGAGCCAATTCCAACCAGCTGTTGGTATATATAATTCTCTTCATTGCGACCTGAAATACTCCACGACCGCCATGTCTGGGGTCCATGTCGAATTCCTTAATCTACGGGAAGTGTACGAAAAGGCCCAAACTCGAATTAATCGTAAGTCAAGGCAAAGAATTATCAAAGGAAGAGTCGATATGGTGGTGACGTTTGATGCACAGATACAGGATATCGCGGTAATGGTAGAAAGAATTCCCAAAGCTAGAGCACTAGCTGGTGACCAATGTGGGCAGGTGTCGCTGGAAGTCAGCGTCGAGAAGCTTGAGCTGAACAAGGTTAGTATTTAGTTAAACCGAGAACTCTGCAAAGCACTATGCTATAGTAAATAAAATTTCGGCGCATTGCTCGCGCCTGTCTGCTCTGCTTGGCTGGCCGGACTAAAYATCAGTCCATATCAAAAGCTTCCACCGAATAAATTCGGTAAACTTTGGGCCACTTTAAAAGGGAATCCTTTTTTGACTTCCTATTTTCATATATAAGCCGATTTTTTCCCCCTCCAAAAATTGCATCATGTCGTCAATTCCTATCAGACTATTATCAGAAAATACTAATGGAGGATTTGCCCGAATTTACTTTTTTGGGGGCCTTGCAGTTACGCTGCAAAAATATTTTAAATTTACGCGATATCTCTTACGTCAAGCAAGGATTGCAGGTACCCAGACAAGAAGGGGCATTTCCCAAAGCGAATGCTTGCATGTTGGTCACAGTAATGTAATACAAGAAGTCAGATATTTTGTGGTTGATTTTATTATCTTTGTTGTTTGTTCTATAGCAGTACTTCTCGGTGGATTTAGACTCGATTTACCTAGCACAAGATGGCCGTACACCTGTATATAAACTATCAACAGTCGATGCAGAACGCCGCAACAGATTTCACCTAGCAATCGTAGTGATATTTATCGATGGAACTCGAAGCCAAACAATATTTAGTAGACCATTCCTGTTAAGAAGCAAGAAAACGCTACGCTGCTTTAGAAGCATTTAATACTAGGTACATGCGCACTGATGCTGTGTGGCAACATGCATGTATGCATTGATGATATGCCGGTACATAATGATTTCTCGAGGTCTCTATTAGAAAAACCGCTTTATTAACACCTTATTGCTCCCTATTGCTGTTAATACTGCCGAGCAAATTTCAGATGAGCGTGAATCTTGCATATATCAGTGGCACACAAAGAATAATTCATACAGCATATCATACAAGTTAATTTTTCATATTTATCATGTGATATGTGTAACATCTAATATAGGTGAAATAAGAAATAGCATTGTATTGTGAGCTAGGTTTATTAGATATACCAGAAACGTTTTTGTAAGATTCTGAACTAAACGGAGAAAATATAATAATATAAAAAATTAGTTTTTGCAATTTTTTGAAAAGACTGCATGGTAGAAAACTTTTTTCGCTTTTGATAATATTTAATTCATTATATGTAAAAATGCACAACAATAAGTATTAATTTATCATTGAACTAGTCTGAAAGAGGCTAGGACTGTCTACGAAGAAATTCATATACAGGCTAAGAGGCCAGCTGAATTTGTAGAGTTTCGCAATTTTACATTTTTAGTTATTCAAGTTTTGGTATTAAAATTCATATTGCACTTTTTTTCTCGGTTACTGATGATCCCTTTTGGGCTCGCAATGAACACAGGTGTGCGTGTGCGGCTCGCAATATCGCATTCATTTGTGAGCCTAAGTTTGATTCTAGTTTGATAAATATAGACACTGTACAGTTAAAATATGTAAATAACACATTTATGAATATATAAATAAAGTTATACTAAAAATACTGATGTGAAAAAATTACGTTGTCCTCCTCTCTTCTGATCCTCTCCTCCTCGAGATCTATCAGTGGAAGTCCATTTCCAAGCTTTGAACATGAATGAATGAATGTAGTAGTAGTCGCTGCCTGCTTCTGGGACGATATCTATGTTATTTAAGAACGTACTAAGCTAACACATGTTTTGAAACTCTTTGAAGATCAAAACTATTTTGACAGATAAAACTAACTCGGTCAAATTATTTTTCAAATAAAGATCTTTATTTAAAAATGGACTTGTTCAAGAAGTGGAGTTCTCCTTCAAGTTTTTATCAGCTCTAAGCTGGCGTTGAATCATTTACATTGTCATATTCAATTCTTCTTTTTATCGAGTACTCGAAAAATCTAGAATATAATCTGAAGCAAAGCGCTCCCGACTCTCCCGACTCCACGTGCCATTTCTGACTTTATATAAAGAAATATGTATCACGTGACCAAACCCCCGGGTTTAAAATGGCGGACGAGGAAGACGACAGCAAAATGACGGCAGGAAAAGATCAAATTATGTGCGAGCCGAGAATTATTGAGCTCAACAAAGGAACCAATGGATTTGGATTTAATGTGCGAGGCCAAGTGTCGGAGGGAGGCCAGTTAAAATCGATTAATGGCGAGCTTTATGCACCTCTTCAACATGTGAGCGCTGTTGTTGAAGGAGGCCCAGCACACAAGGGAGGTGTTCGGGTTTTCGATAGAATCTTAGAAGTGTGAGTACAAACATCACCATCATCACCTAATCATCTTCAATTACTAGTTAACTTAGCGATTCTGGCGTTCTGAGTACCAGTACCTTGTCCCTTTAACTTTTATAATGTGAAACTGGTAAACATTTTTCTTGATTCTCTTCAAAATAAACACAACCTTCAATTGTACTTTTTTTCTAAGAATCACCGCAAAAATATCAAACAAACCTGAAACACGAGCCAAAGATTTTATCCCAGATTTTCATTTTTGATTAAGGAGTGCTTTCGACACTTTTGATTCCCGTCAAAAGCATAATGTGCACCGTTCCGAATAAAAAATATTTGAAGGTTATAATTTTTGATTCAGCTTCATTAATTTTTTTCATAATTTTCCTCCCAACTCACAGCTTACAGTTTGATTTATAAGCACTGTTAAAATATTCGGGAACCCTTCGCTAAAAAAGAAACCCCTGATAAAACATTTATTTTTCATTTTCTATTGACCTGTTAACATATAAGACTTTGAATGCTACCTTGAAAAATTCTTTCAAATAATTTGCCAGGGAAATAAATGACTTTTTGTCCTAATCATTTTTTCCGTCACAAATTAATTCCGGTGTTTGAAAATGAAACCATGAACGTACTTCTTGTTTTAGCTCTATAGGTCATGCACTTTCACTTCTTTCGTTTCTAAACACTATTTAATAAATCAGCCATTTAAAATGTGCTCAAATTTTTCACGTGCTGTATTTCAGTCTTTCGTAGTTCCAGCTCTCTGAAAACCCTCTGAGCAAGAGCTGCAAAAATATCTTCTAGAATAAACATTATGTATTGCATATGTTGGTAGACAATATTAGTTTGTTGAGGCAAAAAAAAAAAAAAAAAATCATTTTCAAAAGCAACATTTTTGATCGCCATATAATTTATTGATGTGTTTTTTAAAAATTAAAGTATTACATATATAATATTATTTCCTCAGTGTTGATAATGTTATGTCTTGTCTTCATTTAAGAATTGCTTTTTTTCTTTAGTTTATTTATTGATTTGCTAAAAGATTGTTGATATTGGTCTTAAATTAATGATAGGCATATCAATAATATCAACGAGATCAGGTGTTTTTTTCTATTTGAAAAATACCAGGTGTTTTTATATATCAATATGAACTCATTACTGACTTTTAAGGATTGTTTGTCGCATTGAAAAAAAAATTGTTAGAGATTTTCGCTGCTCTTAATATTGTTTTTGTTGTTGTTTTAGACAAACAGTCTCAATCAGACTGACTGTTAATAATAAATGATTTATTACATGTTAAGAGCCTGATATCTTTTTTATTCACTCATTTTCCATCTCATATCACTCAATCACTCACTTGCAGACATGCTCGTTCATAATACGACATGCAAACTTATTAATAAAAACAATATCAAGCTCTTCCTAACCTACAGTAAATGGGGGACATAAAAGAACCTGTCAAGTGTAACGTTTTTTCATTTCCCTGAGGATGGCTGAGTAGGCCGAAAGCTCGGATTATAATTATTTGGTTGATAAAACAAATTATTATGAATAAAAGAACCTGTTGAATTATTTGTGTAAGAGTAGGGGATTGTCCCACGGTTCAACAGCCTATCCCAATTTGGAGGCATAGTACTAATCTACTAACAACATCACACTCATGATTGTAAGCTGCACGGCTGCCATGGCACCTTAATATGCAGCCCGTAAAGCCCTCCACTGGTTATAAAATGTAAAAATGCATTGAGATATTTGAAATGAGCTATAGAAGTACCCCATTATTTATTTATTTATTATAGTTATCATGTGATAATATATTTTCATATGCAATACCATATATTATGCCATAATGGTACTCAAAGGTAATATGGTTCGTTAATGTATCATTATGTATATGAAATATATAACAGCAGACACGTAACAATATAAAAACATCAAAGTGAAATTAGCGGGTTAGGTGTAAAGAGCACAATATTAAAACTTTTTGTACAATGGTTTTGTAAAATGTTAATATGGTAATATATTGATCTCTATTTTTTAGCAATGGTGAAAATGTGGAAGGAGCCACGCACAAGCATGTTGTTGAGCTTATCAAGAAAGGAGGATCTCATTTGAAACTTGTGGTGATATCTGTCAGCCAATCAGAGTCTGAAAAACTAGACAGCGATAGCTCTTCTGGTGCAGAATATTATGATTACTCTGATAGAAGAGTTGCTCCTATAGCTGTTCCTGAAACCAGACAAGTCCAATGTGGAGGGGAAAGTTATGTGGTAAAGTAATGCTTCTTTGTTTTTGTTTTTCTTGTTTTTTTATTTTAGAATTTTCAAAATAATGATCCTCATCAGGGGGGGCAAATATTAAATATCATATCAGGCCCCATGTCACTCCCATGATCAATGTTTCTCTCTTTAATTTGATGCTTTTCTAGTCATAAATCATACTGCCTTTGTAGGTGATAATATCATGCCATAATTCRTTTTGGTCAATTGATATTTGGACATTTGACATGAATTATCAACCAGAAATACATGTTGAAGAAAATAATAGAAAACATGCACATGTTTTGTGTGCAGATACAGTATAAGTGATGCAGGGATTGGCAGAATACAAGAGAAGTTTTAGGAAAAGCACAACACTCTTCTCAATAGACCAATCCTGACTATGCTTGATTGTCCACCCAAACAATGCATAGTTTAGGACCTAGAAATGAGAGGTTCATTTTTCTACCAATCTTAATTATGCAATTTCTTGAAAAACTAAAATAGCTTTTAAGCATTATTCATACTACTACAAAGGTTGAGAGGAGGAGGTGGTTTGGACCATCAAACCACCCCTAGAGGTGGGCCTGTTATAACTGCACCCAGCCTTGCAAGCAATCTTTTTTTTGTATAATTCATTTGAGTTTCTTGCACTGTGATTTTTTTAGGCTACAACACCAACCTTTTCCAGGCTACAATACACATCACTACTGCAAGGATGACTTTTGATCAGAATTTATATTTAATACAGACTGAAGTTAACCAATCATTTAATTACAGAATGTTTTTTCTTTACTTTCTTTTTTAGGTTTATAACATTTACTATAATAATAGGCACATATGCTCCAAGCGATACAAAGAGTTTTCCAACCTACACACTCAAGTAAATATTGTCTTTACTATATATCTTTTTTATCCACTTCTCAAAGCAGTTACATTGAATCATATGTATTTGTCATTTGTGTAAATAAAAAACAAATAGACAGACAATCAGGGTTTGAAATTTGTTTTCAAAGTTATAGCTACAAAATGCTTGTGGGTTTGAAAGCTATATCCAAAAATAATTTATATTGATGTCTGTGCTTTCTTTTGTGAAAACAGATGGCCAAACAGACATAGACATAAACAAGGATGACCAAATATATGAAATGTATTGATAACAGAAAAAATATCATACACATAGACTGACAGACAGAAAGACAGACAGAAAGAAAGACAGAAAGACAGACAGACAGAACAGACAAACAGACAGATAAATAGACAGACAGACAAAAAGACAAAGAGAAAAAATATATTATGTTAATAAACTATTATTGAATAAATATTGAATCGATTTAATTGCTGTTTCCATCATGTAATTTCAGTTACGTAGGGAATTTAGAGATTTTCAGTTTCCAAAATTCCCTGGTAAATGGCCATTCCACTTGACAGAACAGCAGTTGGAGGGAAGAAGAAAAGGCTTGGAGAATTACATGCAGCAAGGTAAGAGTTCCAACCATCTTTATATATATATATACATATGAGTAACAAGCAAGAGGGGAGAGGATGTAGAAAGCGAGACTAATAATCTCACAACAGTTGAGCATAACTGTTCACGTCTAGAATGAGGGTAGTAAGGTACTGGTAGAAGAAAAGCTTAGTACATTCTTTATTTTAATCCCTTCCTGCTCAGACTCACCCTCATTTTATCTCCATTACCTGGGTGTGACCAGCAAGGACAATTCCCAGAACAATAGAGATGTATGGATAGGAAACAAAAGTGCACAGTTAGTAACATGAAAGGGGATAGGAAGGGGTAGAAGACAATACCAATGATGTACACCTATTTCAAAAACTGTGGTCGTTCCAAGAACTGAAATCTGAAGCAATGCTTCATTTAAAGTGCACATGAACCCTTCGACAATACTTTCAGTACTGATTCTACATAAAG